AAGAATGTCCAATGCTTATCCCTACCCATTTAGAGCTAGACTTGGGGGCTTGAACCCAAACCACATTAGCTTACCCAGCCTGAAGAGTCATCATCTTTAACTCTTCTCACATCTCTTTCCATCGCTATAACCCTTGCAGCCAGCCTTAGTATCACATTCACAAGCTTCACTCACACATCCATATCCATATCAATTATCCTTCCCTTTAAGAGCCCTTTATCATGAAATCTTGTTTCAACACTGTGCATGTTTCATCATATTTAAAACAACATTCAGTAGAAGAAACATTGTATACTTGCTTAGCTTCCTGACCTGAGCAATGTTCATTGTTTCGCATAATGTGCTAAGAAACATTTATATATCAATGATTTTTAATCATACAAAGCATATCGTGCTTAGCTCCTTGACCTAAGCAACGCAATAATCACTATACGTGCTTAGCTTCAAGACCTAAGTGACGTTCAAAATCGCTTCTTTACACCATATATGATGCTTAGCTCCCTGAATTAAGTTCATTCATTTATCGTGTCACATGATGTAATTGTCCTTAGCCTCCTGGCCTAAGAACATGCATCATGCATACATTATTTTCAGGACAAGCAATTCAATCCATACGATTCATTTCGTCTTGCTCAAGGAGGAGGTTCAAAACTTCTTTCCTTATTTTATTTTGGGGAAGTTCTATTACTTTTTCCAAGTTATCATCGAAGGAAGTTCGAAAATAAAAGTTCAATTTTCACATCTTTCTTTTTCGGGAGAAAGTCGGTACCCTCCACACATGATAAAAAATGACGAAAAATTTCGCTTTTGCATCTTCGTTTGCTTGAGTCTGCACACACACATAGACACACACACACACACACACTCACAAGTTATACATCAAGTCAAACTTGGTTCAAGTCAATCACAGTATATACGAGTCCATTGGCAAATTTATTTTTGCAGGTCTTATCTACAGCCCACGTCCGGGGACAAGCGGACCATCTACAGCCCACGTCCGAGGACAAGCGGACCATCTACAGCCCACGTCCGGGGACAAGCGGATTACCATCATTTCATGATGCAAGGTTCTCGATACACAGAGACTTGCAATCTCATCATCTTTCGACTTTCCTCAAGCATGGAAAGTATTATCCGGTGGATTTTTCTTCAAGTATAGAAAACCGCCAAGTCGGCTTTCCTCAAGCATGGAAGGCATTATCGGTGGAATTCTTCAAGCATAGAATGACACCATATTCATCAGTCGGCTTTCCTCAGGCTTGGAAAGCGTTATCGGTGGATTTTTCTTCAAGTATAGAAAACCGCCAAGTCGACTTTCCTCAAGCTTGGAAAGCGTTATCGGTGGATTTTTCTTCAAGTATAGAAAACCGCCAAGTCGGCTTTCCTCAAGCTTGGAAAGCGTTATCGGTGGATTTTTCTTCAAGTATAGAAAACCGCCAAGTCGGCTTTCCTCAAGCTTGGAAAGCATTATCGGTGAAATTCTTCAAGCATAGAATGACACCAAATTCGTTCATCGACTTTCCTCAGGCATGGAAAGTATTATCCGGTAGTTTTCTTCAGGCTTTGAAAGCTACCAAACTCTTCAGTCGGCTTTCCTCAAGCATGGAAGGCATTTCAACAAACGTCATCGAGTGGATTCCTTCAAGCTTAGGAAGCTGCCAAATTCGTTTGTCACCGACACACTGGTGCCAGATACGTATTCTATCCCGTTACTCTTTTATCTGTGGAATTAACATTTTTCTGCAGGTATCGGCGTATACAGAATGATTTAGGATCGCAGAACGTCTTAAATCATTCTCCATCCCTATCGACTACTTTGACTATCGTTTTCGAAACTAACGTTTCTACAAACTCAGTCAAAGTGGGGGCTTCTATAGACACCTAAAAATGTCTCCACAAAACCAAACCCGATGATAAATAACCTTTCACCGCCTCTATTGGACAGGTTTAGTATTTAATCCCGAGAGTGCTTAAAAAATCGTATTTTATTAAATTCATACTTTTGAAAGGTCCATGGATTAGTCTTGATGTTTGGTAAAAGCATAGTTTTTATTTTAGCCCAAACTTATTAATTAATTTTTAGCCCAAACCTTTTTTATTTTATTGTTTTATTATTTATTTTTGGCCCAAACATTTTATTTATTTTTATTTTATTATTTTCTTATTTTAGCCCGAATAATAAAAGTCAGAAAAAAGCCTGAAATTATCAATCAGCACTTAAAAAGCCGAAAGAAATTAGGGTTAAAAATGAATTTTGACGGAAAAATGGACTGGAAGTGACCGTGTCACGGTACAGTCTGACCGTGTCACGGGAACCCTTCCCGTCTGACGGTGGGACTTCCCGTGACACGGGAGGTCTGCCGTGACACGGGACGTTCCGTGTCCTTTCCGCGTAAACCCTTAACGCATTTTTTATTCCGTTTTCTGAAAATTTCCCGCGTCACTCCAAAACTGTACCGTGTCACGGGGAAGTGTACCGTCTGACGGTACAGTCTGACCGTGTCACGGTACTGTTTGACCGTGTCACGGGATACTTTTTTAGGGTTTTTATCATTTTAGGGTTCCGTGTGCTCCTTCAGCACATTTTCCCTATAAATACCCCCTCATTTCTGATGTACGGGGCGACCAGAATTTTATTATTCTTATTTTCTCTCTTCTATGCTATTAACCTAAACACTAGCCTACCCTTTTCACTTCAAAATTCCTTCTTCAAGCACTCAAAGGAGTCCATATTTTACTCGAGGTTCTGTCCTTAAGCCAAGGCGTGAAAGGTAGAATCGTTTGAGGGTTTGGCCCCAAAATCAACTTTAGTTTTATTTAATTTAATTTAATTATTGTTTTATTATTTCCTTGAAGTTACTAACTCGTTTATTATTTTTTAGTTGCAAGCAAACAGATTCAAAGTAAGGATCATGCTCTTTTATTATTATTATTATTCTAACAATTTTATGTTGTTGGGATCGTGATTAAATTGGTTTTTATATTGATTTTATTATTTTTATTATGATCACCATATTGCATGTTTAAAGGGAATATGTAATTGAAAATCACGACTAATAAGATAATTTGGACAACCGGTTTAGGATCCCTCTTAATTATTATTAATTGAAGTGATCATCAAATGTTTTAGAATTATGTGTGCATTAATTTTGAACCAATTTAGCTAAATAATAGTTTGGAGCGAATTGAATATTTTGTTTGTATGCCTTTGAGATCACAGGAATGCTTTTCAATATAAGAATCGAGTAGAGGCCAATACGAGCGAATGTGACTCCATGACTTACTTCGTACCATCATCCCCGATCCTCCTTTCATGGTTCCGAACCATATGGAGTTAATAATCTCATGGATTATGAATGGGGTGTAACCTTCACGGTTCAATCGTTGTTGCCTATCGTTGTCCCTTATCGTGGTTGCCTTTTTATGATCCGTGATCGGTTTACAAGTTCCTTAAAAACTTGTTGGCGGCTCCCTACTTTCCTTGTCCCTAATCGTATTATGTCAATTCCCACTTCCTATGAGTGTCAAGTATATTCACCACATGCTTTTAACGTAGGCGCACTTCGAGCGACGCCTACAATAGTCCTAAGGGTTATGTTTATCATTTTCCTTAAAATTATACATTAACAAATGTGCCAAATACAGTGAAACAAAGAAAGTCATCATCTACATTTGATTTTATATTACAAATAGTTCAAAAGATAAAGTAAAAGCGGCATAAAGTGGGTGGAGTTTTCAAAAAGTCATAGTGAAAGCAACATAAAATTGTAGGCCGAAATGACAAGAGAAAGACTAGTAAGTTGGGCATGGGTCGGGCCCGCCTGCGGGCGCAAGGGGGCGGTACGATAACGGGCCACTGAGTAGTGGAGAATGGAAACTAGAGAGAGAAAGTTAGGGTTTGTAAATTGTTTAGAATTTTGTTTCTGATATGGGCCGAAAGTTGTGAGTCTTGTATTAGAAATTTTATTTTTTTTACAAAAAATAAATTTATAAAACGGATTCAGGTCCAGGTCTGGGAGTTAGACCCAGACCCAGATTCGTTTTTTCCAACAGGACCTGGATCCGACCCGGACCCGTCGAGTTTAAAATTTGAGGACTCGAATTCGTGAAAAATGGATTTGGATCCACGGATCTGGGTCGGATCCAGATCCACTGCCATCCTTAGTAGCGGCCCGACACGGCACGACACGAGGAACGAGGGGTGGGTCGTGCCATGAACAAAAAAATAAAAATTCGGCACGAGCCCGCGAGCAGCACGAATTTTTGGCCCGCCAGCACTGCCTGCCAACCCGACCCATAATAATAATAAACTATAAATAATAAAAATAAAAATAAAAAAAATTCATAATAATATGAAGTACTATAAATAATAAAAATAAATTAATATAAATATTAAAATTATTTAATTAAAAATAAAAAAAATAATGTGCTGGTCCACGACTCGGCACGACCCGCTAGGCACGTAAGCTATGTCGTGCCGTGGGATGGGGTGTGCCATTTGATGGCCCAGCACGACACAGCCCGCCATCACCCAGGCCTGACACGACATGACATGACACGAGCCACCTTTTGACATGGCACGATGCCCAGCTATAAGAAAGAGTAACAAATGATTCATAGACACTATGTCATGGACGCTAATTCTATATTACTTAGGGCTTGTTCTCATTTATTGAATTCAGCTGAACTGAACTGAACTGAATTGAATTGAACTGAACTGAAATGAATATTTTATAAGAGAAGAAAATTAGGAGCTGAGCTGAACTGAGTTAAACTGAATTGAACTGAACTGAATTTCAACATAAGAGAATAGGCCCTTACTCCGTTTTTACAATTGTTTCTTCTTTTCTCTAACATCACCCCCAAAATCAACACAAGTAATCTATAAAATTAACCAACACAATAAACGTTCTTGTAACAGTGACACAAGCTCTTGACATCTATTCAATATGTCAAAATATTCAAGTACTAGGTTAAACATAAAGACAAATGTCCTAATGTCTCATCTTAGTGAAAAATCCAAATAAATCATTAAATAGAGCATAAAAAATGCACCAAAATTAGAAATAAAGAAATTATCCAAATAATTTATGAAGATCTTCAAGCTCCAGCATTGTAGAATTGTTTCTTTCAAATTTAAGAGGGGACAAGAATAGAGAATGAGGGGCCAATATCCCCACTTCTTTAATATTATGCTTTTGCTCTTCTTTTAATAACCCAACCTCACTGCATAAAGCAAAACCAACCACATTTTTTTGAATTAATGTTGCTTTTTTTGGTCAGCAAAATCAAAATTCTATGTTAAAATATTACAGTACATTACATTACAATTAAAAAAAAAATTACAAAAAAAAAAATGAAAATAATTTCACTATGTTATCCAAACTTTCCCTTTCCTTTTTAACTGTACAGTTATTTTGAATTTTCCTATTTCCTTCTTTTTACTTCCTGGCAAAATAATCCAGGGTAGGGAAAACACAAAAATAAAATTTAAAAAAATTCCAAAAAACGAAAAAAAAAAAAAAAAAAAAAAAAAAAAAGATACAAAAAATAAATACAAAAATTATGCTCCCCAATGATTGTTCCCTACAATGTACAAAATGTATTCACCCCCCTTTGATTAATCTCTCTCTTCAGTATAATGGCTGATCCCAAAAAATTCAGCCGCCATAAAAATTGTATTAGTAGTTTAGTACGATATGATGCAACGAGCCATTGATGGTTTAGATGAAGCTCATTGAAGCCGTGTTTTAAGAGCCCCGAGTGCTGTGCTTCTAGGGGGTCCGAGGCCAGGGCCAGGGTCAGGGTCGCAGAAGCAATCAACAATGTGTTAATGGTGTAATCTGATGATAGGATTGTCCTTGGTTCTTATGCTTACTCATCTTCCACAAAGACGCGATGCATGAAATCCCGGAACCTTTTGGAGTAGAGCTTTGGATCCACAGCTGAAATAAGGGTGGGATCCACTTGCAAGGACTTGTAAGCATGTTCGAATTTTTTGATGATATCATAATCTTGGAGGATGTCAATGATACCAAAATAAAGAATTACTTCGAATACCTCCCCACCACCACCATTTCCACCAGTTACACTTCGTGGAGTTCCATTCCCTTCGAATTCTGCCCGTGATACTCGCTCTGCTCGTGCAGGCATGTTTGCTCCTAGCCGGATGAAAGGTCTCCTGTGATTTAACAAATCACAATAGCACGGATTAGAATAATGCTGATAGAGACATGATTACTGTATTTTATTATCAATATTAACATCAAACGAATTTCTTACTACTAACTACTACATTAAACATAATTCACGTAGTTTGACTCGTGATGATCATGACAGCAACTCTCACAATCTGACTATATCACCAGTAAAACTCTTGACGTATTCGTTCATTCTCATTATTTATTATTTTAGTCCAGCTTATACCTTATCACCACATAATTTACACTAGTATTTGGTTCGTTTGATATGCCATGCCAGTCATGTTCTGCGGTTGTTAACAGAAGTCCTAATCATCTACATTATTGTAAGCATACTAGATTTTCTTTTTTTGCAAGTATTCGACAAACTCCAACTTCCACCTATTAGAGATTACTACACATAACTGAAGATAATAACAGCTATTACACCGGCCAAAAGCATAAATAGCATAAACTACTCATATTACTGCAAGGACCGCTAAAATTATTCAGATTCGTAAGAACGATTTACTGCCACATCACAACTTAAAGGTTCCAACAATATATTAATCAATTTGAGCAAATCAAAGGGCTAAGTAAGCAGTATATAGCATTTCCAGCCTGTCAACTACCAAATTATGAACCATTCCAAAAAATTTTGACAGTCCATTTTAAATTGGACCATATCCTACAGGTCATATATATAAACAAAGAAAATGACAAACAAACAAGTTCCTTTCATTTTAAGACAATTCATTCAAGGCTTAATGAAAAACTACTACGTCAGGAGACCAAAATCTATCAATGCAAAAAATAAATGAGATTAAACAGAGACATTCCAATGGTCTGTCTTACAGTACAGCATAAACAGCAGTAAATGCAATGTCGACGACTGAGGGCAGAAATGTAGACAAATCAAGGGTAGGAATGTTGGACCAGTACACTAATTAATCACTGCCACACAAAGCTTAAGAAAATACGCGGGATCAGATGATTTCCCATCCCAATGTATCTTATATTAGTAGCAAATCAGATATAAGGAAATTGATCTTCTGGTTGCAATATTTGAACTGAAGAGAGAATAAAAAAAACAATGGTAAGAAGACTTACGTTCCCTCCATTATGCAGTTTGAGTCCTGCGTAAATATCTCATACCCTAGAGGCGAACTCTTATCATGATTTGTACCCCCTCTGCCTGGAAAGAGCCAAAGAAACAATTCAGTAAATATCACTTGTTCAGAGAGGCTACTCATGTGAACTCAGCCAAAACAGAAATATCGGAGGTAATAGTATTAGTAATGAAAATACAAAAACATGTAAGAATGGCAATAGTATACCAGTAGGAGACAATCCTGGCTCATTACTGGAACAATCCTCACGGAAATGAAGACCGATCAACAGACTATAATCCATGATTTTCTCTGCCTCTAAGAACTCGCAATCTCTATCAACTTGACTGTTTTTTAAAAATGTAAACCATTAAATAAATGCAAAACTGAATGAAACTGCAGTTTTGAACAGTTGAAACAAAATTTGAATGAAACTGACCTCATGAGCTCTTGGAACCAAGATTGCTGTAAGCGAAACACAAATTTTAGGTCAAGGTCCTTAAGGGTGGTAGTCTCATCAATTTCACCTTCAGGTTTGTCAATTGACCGACCATGGGAAGAACCTTTTAAATCAAATCTTTTATGAATCCGGTATTCAGAGTGAAACAAATTTCCCATAACAATGAAGCGAGTCTATCGGCCATCAAAAAAGGAGAGTAACAATTAGTTTTTCAGCACACCAACAAATTTGTAAGTTTACTCGATTTAGGGCAAGATAGTACCTTCTGACCACCTACTGCTTTGAGTTTGACACAATGCACACCAAAGAACTTTGTTACCAATGTGTTCTTGTATTTGGCAACATGGTCATAATACTTAGGCAGCATTTTGATGAGTACCTGACATAAATTCCCGCAATAACCAATTATGAGAATCCATTTTCAGAAATATTATGATTACTCTCTCATTATTAATATACTACATGAATGAACCATTATGAGTTGTAGTATTTGCTCATTTTTTAATATACTACATGAATGAATGTCTTAATTAACAAACCTATTAGACAAGTGCAAACTGACCTTAACCTCAGCCTTCTTGACAGTTTTAATCATATACCGATCATCTTGAGTTAGATAGAAGCAACTTCCACTCTTTCCAGGGGAAGAAAACTCTCTCAACGCGTCACTTCCACAAATAGCTAACATATACTCAGCTGGATCAATCCCAAATAGTTCTCTCAAATGTCTAGACATCCATATCAGCCACATATGGCAACAATGAACAAAGTCAGCAGATTACACAAGCAAACTGAAGTTCGATCATGACATCAAACTAGTACAATTCATTCACCTGAACACCATGGGACAATAGTCTTTCCATCTGAAATCAGCTGATTGATGTGGTGGTGTATGTTTTGATCCTTCAGGAGGGAACCTAGTCCAAAATTTCTCCTTAGGCTCAAAATCAGAACCCTTAAGATCCCGAGTTTTCGAGGCATGCTTCCCAACAGAATGCCTATACATTATCAAATTCAAAATTCAACCCACCATTCAAAATCAACCTAATTACCTAGAAACAATGCATTCATGCTAATCAAACTCAAAACACAACAATCATAAACCAACAAAACAAAACCAATGCTAATAATGTCATTACCTGATACCTAACTGCAAATTAAGCATAAGCTCATAATTCTTATGACCTTTGGAAATGGGTTGTCCAGGCTTCTTAATCTCATCACATCCACCACCATACCAATACGGCGTTGAAGGCGTTGAACCCACATTTTGATTACTATGATTACATACAACAACATTCATATCCCTAGGACTTTGACTCCTACTCAAAGCACCCTTAGGACTCTTCTTAGCACAACTACTAGCAACCCTATACAACTTAGAAGCCTCAGAATTATCAATAATATCACATGTAATATCCCCAGCATCCTCATCCGCTTCCCATATACATATCCTTGGAAAATTCACCCCTCTATCCGACACACTCATCCTCCCCCCATCCTCCCTCTTAGCATTCGTCGTAACGAAACCTTCATGATTAGTCCCACTCCCATTCCCATTCCCATTCCCCCAATTGCCGGCATAGGTGCTACCATCAGGCCGAGTAAAAACCCCGGCGCCTTTCGGAACACCGTTCTCCCAATGCCCTTGATACCTATTACCATTAGCCCAAATCAAAACCCCTTTCCCAAAGATCACCCCATTCCTCCACTCCCCAACATAAACATTCCCATTACTCCAAACATATTTTCCTTCTCCATTTTGCACATTCTCCTTCCAATCACCATCATACAAATCACCATTAGCATACAACTTTTCCCCTTTACCACTCTTCTTATCACACACCCACATTCCTCTATATGTATCCCCTTCTGTCCCTGTAAACGTCCCTAACCCCTCCATTCTCCCTGACTTGAATTCGCCTTCATACGTCACACCCGACGGCCATGAAAACCTCCCTTGCCCCGTCGCCTTCCCTCGCCGCCACTCCCCCTCGTACATACACCCATCTGACCACAAATATTTCCCATTTCCATGAGGTACATTCCCCACAAATGTGCCTGTGTAATAATCCCCATTTGCCAGATTCCTCTCCACCACCTCCGGCACCTCTAACTCCGGCGACACTCGCCGGAGACTCGCCGGAGATCGGTTTCTCATCTCGGCTGTAGGTAATACAATCTGGGTTGGTTTCTCTTCTTCTGAAGATGAAATCTCCTCCTCTTCTTCCTCTTCCTCCTCCTCCTCTGCTTCTTCGTCGGAAGATTGTGTAGATTCGGAGTACTTTGTTGTTGTTGTTGAAGCGCGTGAGCATAGACTGTAGGATCTTCTGAGTGTTTTCAGCTTAAGGGTGTCCTGCATTTTGTGCACCGGAGAAAGTTTTGCTGTTTTCGACAACGGTTGCTGTTGTTGTTGGTGGTGTTGTTGGTGTTGTTGGGCTGTTGTCATGATGAAATCAAGTATTGGGTAGTCGGAGATTTAAGCATTCTTTGATTGTTTGATTTGAATTTTGTATTGTTTTGTGAGTTAATTAGTGAACTAAAAATGGATGGTTTTTGAGGTGGGATTTTTGGAGAAATTGGTTGGATTTTTGTTGGGATGATGATGATGAAGAAGGAAGTAGTGTGTTGTTTTTGGTTTGAAGAAAGAGGGAGAATCGAGAGACAGAGAAGACAATACAGGAAGAAAATGGGAAAGTGTAAGAATGAAAGAAAGAAATTCAGGAGAGAGAAACTCAAAGAGAAAGAGAAAGGCCGGCTATACGTTTGAGAGACTACTTCAAAATTTTATTTTTAAAAAAATAAATAAATAAAAATTGTTTGAAAAAAAATTATTTTTAATAATAAAATTTGGAAAATTATTGCCATTATTGATAATCATAATAATTATAATAATTTTTATTATAACTGTAATTATAATAATAATAATTTTTATTATAATTATAATACTAAAAATTTATTATTATTATTATTATTATTTATTTTGTTTGGTGAATCTGACTTACAAAATAAAAAAAAATTAAAAAAAAAACAACAAATTTTGATAAAAAAAAAATTATTAAAAAAATTTTGATTTTTTAAAAAATATATAAATAAATGTTATTTTTGGTGATTTAATAAGTAATGGGGGTGTTAATAATTTGGTTTGGTGAATCTAAGTGACTAATAAGTGACCTCTCAAAATTTTATTTATTTTTTTTTGTAAAAAAAAAAAGAAAAAGATAGGGGCTAATAAATGTGATTTGTTATGCCAACAACTTAATTTAATTGAGGTTATTATAATGAAAGAGAATTTTGGGAGTAGTGACATAGCATTATAGAAGCATCATTTATAAGGTTGCTGTGTTTCTGATTTTGGTTTAGTTTTGTGCTTCATTTTGGGAGGAGTGACTACTTTACGACTTTTGATTTACTACCAATATTTTATTATTTGAACTTATAAAATAGGTTTGATTTTTTAGTTTTTTTACTCACGTACAAAGGTCCCTAGAGGTCTAACTATATTATGTACTCGTAATTTGTAATATGTAATCGGAGTGTTGATCCCGGTTTTTAGTTTTTACTACTCCTTCCGTTCCTAAAAGAAACGATCATTTTGGAGAGTTTTCACAGGATTAAGAAATTTAAATGGAAAATACAAGTGTATGGGAAAGCTAATAAAAGTACATTGAAAAAATACATTTATAAGGATTTTTTTTTTAATAGCAAAAATGTTTCATTAATTAAAAGGCATACGACATCTACAATAGAGATTCGACGTTAACAAATACATAAGATATTGAATCAAATAGAATTTTCTTTCATAAAAACTACGATCGAGTAGATTTTGCACTGCGGAGCATCTCCCGCTTATATCACTGAAAATTACAGCCTTGTTGGAGAGACAATCTAACGATCCTTTGTAGCTGTGAGGATGTTTTCCTTCTGATTCATCTGTTCGTATTCGAAAACTTGATAACCTTTTCACCAACGAAATCATTTCACGACAATCCATTAGATCTGCTACCATGGATTCATAACTAAGAACTTTCTCCCTCGAAAAGAGGAGATAAACCTTGTCTTTCGAAGGAGGTCGAAAAACCCTTGTCTTTCGAAGGAAATCGGAAACCCTTTCTTTCGAGGGAGAAAAATTCCACTGGTTGTTATTCGCCTATTTCACAGAATATCACTAGATCATCAGCATGCGATCTTGTTGGACTTGCCGACTTGGACTTATTGCATTCATAGGTTGATTGCATAGTCCAACAAAAGCATAAAGCTAACAATAAGTCTATTGTAGACCCTGGTCCATCTAGAATAGATGGAACACTGGCCCATATAGGCATATACACTACAAACCTCAAATTTTGTGACCCAAACACTCTCAAAATTTCTTCTTTCTTTTTGTTATTTTGCTTCAACAAACATATCTCTCTCCTCTCCAATTACTTTCATTTTTCAATTGCTCAATACTTATTTCTCTCCTTTGCAGTTGACGAATCGCCATGGAAGAAAACGAGAAAAAGGTCCAGAAAGGTAATTAAATATTTGAACAACTTAAAATTTCTTTAGATTTCGAAATTCGTTAATTGATTTCCTTCAAACTTGTTGTAATTTGTTAAAATTATTTCAATTTTGATAATTTGTGTATAATGTCTAAACATTTTTCACATTTTTTAGACAAATTATTCTACAAGTAGTGATAAAGATGAATTGTTGAAGCTAATCCGATCGATTTCAATGCGTGCAGTGGTACATTGAGATTGTTCGGATATTTTTACTAAATGTTCAAAATTTACGATGTTTGGATTTTTTTACTAAAAGTTCAAATTAAAATTCGAAATTGTTCGGATATTTTTACTAAATGTTCAAAAGTAAAGGCGTGATATATTGCGATTGTTTAAATATTTTCAATAAATGTTCAAAATTTTCGATGTTCAGTTCGGATTTTTTTTACTAAATGTTCAAAATTTGCAATCGTTCAGATTTTTTTACCAAATGTACAAAAGTATTGGCGTAATACATTGCAATTTTTTTAGATATTTTTACTAAATGTTTAAAATTTTCGATGTTCAGTTCGGATTTTTTTTTACCAAATGTCCAAAATTTGCAATCGCTCATATTTTTTTACTAAATGTTCAAAAGTATAGGTGTGGTACAATGCGATTGTTCAGATACTTTTACTAAATGTTCAAAAATTTTGATGTTCAGTTCAAATTTTTTTTTTACTAAATGTTCAAAATTTGCAATCATTCAAATTTTTTTTACTAAATATTCAAAAGTATAGGCGTGGTACATTGTGATTGTTTAGATACTTTTACTAAATATTCAATAAATTTAATGTTCAGTTCGGATTTTTTTACTAAATGTTCAAAATTTGCAATCGTTCAGATTTTTTTTACTAAATGTTCGAAAGTACAGGCGTAGTACATTGCATACATTGCGATTGTTCAGATATTTTTACTAAATGTTCAAAATTTTCAATGTTCAGCTTAGATTTTTTTTTTTTACGAAATGTTCAAAATTTGCAATCGATCAGTTTTTTTTACTAAATGTTCAAAAGTATAGACGTGGTACATTGCGATTGTTCAGATATTTTTACTAAATGTTCAAATTTTCGATGTTCAGTTCAGATTTTTTTTTACTAAATTAATCGACAACAATAAAAAAATATCAATTAATCGATCATAATGGATTACGATTGAAATTGATCAGATTAGTTGCAACAAATTCACTTGATATTAAACAATAATTTCATCCACAAATTCATTGTAAAATCAAAAAATTAATTAATATTGATCACAATGAATTCATAATAACTAACCTAGATTGATCTCTTCAAGAATATCGACAATTTCCATCACGTTAAATGTAGAAAATTAATGAAAAATAAAAATCAAATAATAGAGGAGAGAGAAAATAAGAATTTGAAAAAGGGGGGGGGGAATGAATTAAAATCGAGAAAGAAATAAAAAGAGATCAAATTTTGTGTTTTTTTTTTAAAAAAAGAGAGATTTTGTATGGAAGGAACAAAAAATTAACAAAAAAAAAAAGGACGAATGAGATGTAAAGATGCAGGAAGAAGAATGAGTTAAGTAGAGTTGTATTTTATTTGTATAGAGGTGCCTTTTAGGACGTGGTCCATCTATTTTAGATGGACCAGGGTTCACACAAGAATTTGTATAAAGCTAAGGCTTGTGTCGAATGCCAACCTTGGACTTAAGCACATTGAACTGAGGTTCAGAAAGTATCTTGGTTATACATCAGCCAGGTGAGAACCTATAGGTAGATAAGTGACTTTCAAGTACCTTGTCTCATGTAAAATGAGAGTCAATATCTATGTGTTTATTTTTTATGCTGTTGAACGCAGGGGGATCTTGGCTGAATAGAGATTTGCGAGCCGCCCTATCTCTTCTAATAAATGCAGCATCTGTGTAAGTTCAATTATTCAAATATGCTGCAACTGCCATTGCTCTGCACTCGACTTCTAAAAAAACAAGGAAATCATGCTCTACTTCTTAGATTTTCAGCTGATTAAAGCCAAGAAGAGCTTGAAATTAGAAGATGATTTCTACCTGGACTTGAGAAGGCTAATAATCTGAGTTGATCAGTTACCATCAGTTGATCCCTTTTCATGCTGCTGTTGCTACATTATTGAGAACATGCACTATGTTGTTATAATGCAGTTTCTTAGTTGATGCATATACTGACTTCGGGGTATATATGAATTGAAACCTATAAGCAAGATCAGGCCAATATATTTGAGGAAATTCAACTTCCAAATTAGGTTCCTACTATCTTGCATATAACTTGCTCTAACAGGGTTAAAGCCTGAAACAAGTCACATTATTCTGCATATAATTTGCTCTAAGGTAAAGGTGTAGCCATTGGTTTAAAATATTGATCCCACTATCTTTAAGAATTTTCTTAGTAAACTTACCCTAAGTGTATACTCTGTACCAATCTACCACATAATTAAACTAGACATCCCTAGAAGATAGGTTAACTGGTTAAGTATCCCAACTTCCAAAGGCTTCAATGCTGAATGCATTTTGCAGATGAGCCTTCAGTTTCTGAATTTCAGCTATCTTAGTCTTCTTAGAACTTCATAATCTACATATACTGCATCAAAGGTGATATTCCCTTTTCAAGTAAGGAATTGTCATCCTAGGATTAATCATAATCTTGCATCTCTAAGTCTAAAATTAATTTGGCAAACCATTGTCTGCTTGCTTGTTTCAAACCATAAAGCCGGTGGATAGTGAAGTCTAGCTGACCTCCAAGGTTCAATGCTCAAGGTTTTAGTGTTAACTGTGATCTCATGAATTGGCAATAAAATGTCTGTAAAATAACTTCCACACAGTAAACCCCCGAATGTAAGTTTCTAATATGATCTATACCTTGTACATTAGCACGGTATACTGTAGTAGATAAAATAAAAAAATTAAATTAAAACAAAACACATACAGCCTTGAGGTGATTCAAACAACAGTAGATAAAGCTGTAAGTGCAATCATAACAAAGTGTCCAAATGGAGAACACATACCAAGTCAATGTGTAATTTAGATAGCCTTGGGGCATGACTGAGCTACAAATCTAAGCACTACCATCCTGTGGATCACGATATGGATTTCTAGGATGAACATATTCATTGATGGTCCTTGTCTTGTAGACTGTATTGAGGAAGAACTGATGCATGGGCAATGGCAGGGACATCCACGAGAAATCACTGACTAGATGCAGGATTAATTCCTTGGGAAGAGATATGATTGGCTTCTTGCTCGCACAAACCACACCAGCTACTTCACACTTTCACATGAGTAATAGACAGAGTTGGCTGCTGCACTTAACAACAGGGGAAATTGGATCAACCATAAACATATTTACTGAATGTATCCTTAATAAAAAAAAAAAGTGCAAAGTTAAAAAGCTCAATCGTTTGGGGCTTTATTTAGACCAAAATCTCATGGTATTTAAGAAAAATGGGTCTCACATAATGTAATACACTTAAAATGGGGGTGAGAAATTGTTAAAAGTATAATTTAGTTGTCCATGTGCTTTAAATAAGGTTATCAGTACAACTTTCAAAAAAAATAACTTTCCAATTATAATGTTGAATGTATTGTGGCATTTCCATTTTAGGGAAGTATTACAAGTATTAAAAAACGGAGGATGTATGAATTAAACATAAAGACACAATATATGCAGAGAATTTCAGCGAAGGCAATTGGTATTCAAAGCTTTTTAGTACAAAAAATACTCACCCCATTTTCCTTTTCACCTTTTCAGGGTAGCTCAAATACTTGCCCCATCCTTTTATGGTCAACTTTTCACTAAAATGTCAGTGACGTTAGGCCTTTTTCTCTCTATTATTTCACTCATTGAATAATGTACCAACTCTGCCAACTGCATACAGAGCAAGTAATTTGAGAGATTGAGTCTGAAGAGTAGATATTTCAGCAAGAAGTATTCCATAAATAATTAATGTGACTTTATTTCCAATCTTTTGAGAGATTGAGTCTAAAGAGTAACAGTAAATTGAATAGGCTTCATTGCCAACCTTTAATTTCCAGTAATCCAACATTTTGATCTGCAGCAGCAATACATCAACTGTTAAACAAAACAGTTTAAAAAGTAACACAAACGGTACTTGAATTCAAGTATTTCCTAAACATACAAAGCATCCACCACAGAACAATCCCTTCAACTTTATAAGGGAATATACACTCTAACAGTCAGCTTCAAAATTTCCCCATCCCCAAATTTAGGGTGGAAATGATCCTACTTCTATATGCCTCAAAATTTAATTTGCCTGGATTCATACAACTATTAATGAAAAAATCCCGATGAAAAAACAGCATTTCAAAAATAAGATAACATGCTCTGATTTGGAAAATATATATTACTAGATAGATAAGTGATCACGTGTACCCTTCTAGTGTATTAAGTAACCAGTTCTAATCATCCTTCTATGTTCTTACCAAAATCAATCATACATTTCTCTACATAATATACTAAAAAAACTGTGCAGACATGACTTAAGTAACCGATTTGAAATGATGATATAAGTATTTATACCTCAAAATAAATATACATCTGATAAGGATGTGAAATTGATGCCATAATAAATGAATCAAAAACTCACAAAGTTAAATATGCAACACAGATTGCATCAAATCTCAGAAGGTAGAAAGCTGGAATTGTTACAAATTTCAGTAAGAATATACAGAGTCAATATTGTATAATACGAAGTTAACAATATGGATTTTTGACGAAAGCTGCTATGTGAAATCACTGAAACGTACTCTGTATATTCTGTATATTCTCTCCATACCAATATCAGTCAAGCATTTTAGCATAACGAGATAGTAGTATATATCAGATTGAGATCAAATTCAAATCAACAATAGTTGTTTTTTATTAGAATGATCAGAAAGATGGAAAAAGATGAGCATGTACCCACCATCTTAGTTATGGTATCATTGGTCTCTTTCAGTATTGTCTAAAACTGAAGAGGCAGAAATCTGTCTATCATCTTTGTCTCGCACATCATCTTTAGCAACAGCTCGTTTCTCCAGCCCCTTTAAACCAATCTTTGATCTCTTCTTTTCTCCTACAACCTCATACGACCCAATATACGGCAACTTCTGCCAACTCCTTAAAATCATCAGGAAGACCCAACTCCCTCCACACTTTAAAAACCACCCTCAACGGCACTGACCTAGACACCGACATCAACAACACTCGAACCAATCGTTCCACAACCAACGACAACGACTCATTAATCGCCCACCTCCAATTTAACAATCTCAACCACTTTATCATTCAATTTACAATAAGGCATAGACTTAGTATGATCATAGAAAATGTCAAAAACATGAGGGTACCGCCGATGGTGCACCCTTGTTTAGGTGAAGTCTTTGAGACAACCTAGACAAGAAATCAACTGAAACTGAAGGTGGGTTTTTGTTAGGGTTTGCCAAGATTAAGTCTTGAATAGCAATTACTTTAACAAGCTTCTTGTAATGATCCATATACTTCTCAAATGTTGGGTCTCTTGCCCTAGATGCTACATATTGTACTGATGAAATTGTTCTTATTGTTGAATTTGAACAAAATGAAGCAGAATTTGAGAATTTTAACATGAATTTGACTAATCGAATAACCATTACACTAAATTCAGATTAAATTCAAGGCTACTGAACCCCAAAATCTGAAGAAAAACTTGTAAAAATTGAAAAAAAAATTAATGTAAATTTGAATGAAATTAAGATAAACATTGATTTAACTGAGCGAGAAAGTCCTGAAATCAATTTTCTGGAATGTTTAATTACTCATGAAAATATGAAATTCCTTCCTCAATTCCAATGTGTTAATTTGATTATAAATAAATTTTATTGTATTATCAGAACACTAAACGCTGCAGTAGCACATTGGCTAAATCTTATTGTCAAAGATCCAAGTTCGAACCTTGGCTGCAGCATATTTTTAGTTTTTTATAAAAATGTCACAATATGCCTTTGATGACTAAAACGTCCGTTAGTCATCAAGGCTAATAATGTCACGTGGCATCTTGTAATTGGTTCCTTCTAAATTACTTAATTTTAATATAATTTATTTAATTAATTATCACAAAAAAAAAAAAAAAATCCACCCACCACCAATGTCCCCCAGCCAACCACCACCCTATCTCGACACCCCCGCCTCCCGCCAGCACGAAATCCGACCAGAACCGACGCAGAATCCGACCACAACCCCTCGCTGGTGCTCCTCCCCTTCCCTTGAATCACCGTGCCCGCATCTCTCTCGAAAAACACTAAGTACCGTAGCCTCATCACTCGAAAAACCCCCAACCCCCCTCGAAAAACCATCCCTAACCACCAGCCAATGGCCAAAACCTCCCTCCCCTGTGTCGGCGAACGAATTCGCCTCGGTCAAGTCCCACATCTCTACCCGAATGAACCACCATATACGCCGAAACCCTAAAACCAAAATCTAGGGTTTTGATTTTGCTGTTTTTAGGGTTTCATGGTGGTGGTTTTCGTGAAGTTGGGCAGCGGCGACATGTGGGAGAGGGTTTGGGCTTCCGACAAAAGGGTTTCAGGGTGGTGGGTTGGTTTCTGGCAAAGGTGGAAAGCTGCAAAGTGCTTGAATTCGGTGAAGGTGATGGTTGGGAATTTCGACTAAGGTGGTGGTTAGGGTCAAGGTTGTTGCCGTCAGGGAGGGGGATGGTCGTCAGCCAACCAGAAAGTGATTGGGGTCGGAATCGTCGCAGACGGGGGCGGCGGTGGCTTGCACTGGTGGTGTTTTAATTTTTTTAATTTTAAAAATATTTTTTCTAAATTAATTAATCAAATAAATAATATTAATAAGAACCCATTACAAAGTGCCACATGGCACAATTAACGTTAATGACTGACGGAGTTGACTCAAATGGCATGTTGTGACATTTTTATAAAACTGAATGTTATATGGTGAATTTGAAAAATGTTGGTGGGTATCTGGTGAATTATGTTAAAACTCAATGGTATTTGGTGAAAAATCCGTTTTTTTAATTCATTGCTTCTTATAATTTTATGTTAATAATTAGTTTTTAAAGATTGTTATCACTGAAGTTGCAGTAGCACATTGGCTAAATCTTATAAAACAAAGATCAATGTTCAGTTCAGTTCAGCTCTTAATTTACGTCTAATGATATTGCTAATGGTATAAAGCCAAATTTCATTCTTTTAAGCTCTTATTACAATGACGACGACGACAACAACAACAACAACAACAACAACAACAACAACAATAATAATAATAATAATAATAAATAAGTAATAAATAATAATAATAATAATAATAATAATAATAATAATCAATAAATAATAATAATAATAATAATAATAATAACAATAATAATAATTGAAATAATAATAATAATAATAATAATAATAATCAATAAATAATAATAATAATAATCATCAATAAATAATAATAATAATTATAATAACAATAATAATAATAATACTAATAATAATCAATAAATAATAATAATAATAATAATAATAATAATATGTACATTTGTATATACACATATGTATAGTAATAAATAATCAATAAATAATCAAAGATCACTAATCCGTAGTTAAAAATCACTAATTAATAAGTTCAGTTCAGCTCAGCTCAGTTCAGTTCAGTTCACTTTAGCTGAGTTCAGTCAATCGAAACAGGCCCTTAGTCAAGGGTTATACGATGGATCAGGGGTTACTCAATTAGAGGTTACGTGGTTAAGGGTTACTCGATTGGTTAGAGAATACTTGATCAAGAGTTACTCAATCAGGGGTTACTTAATCGGTCTGAGGTTATATACTTAATCAAGATAGGGTTACTCGATCAGGAGTAATTCCCAGCTCATTCAATGTTTTGGTGTGTGTCATTCGATGTGGCCAGCCACACAGAAAATAAGCTGGATGAACACATCGTGTGACATGGATTATTTGGTTAAGGGTTACTCGATTTGTTAGGGGTTTTCTGTTGGTCATGGGTTAATCGGTCTGAGATTAGTCGATCGATTAGGGGTTACCTGACTAACGTTTTGGTATGTGTCAGTGGGTCACACGATGTATATAGGGGTTACCTGAGATTATACACTGTATTTTTTTAATTTTAAAAAAAAAAGTTTGTGGCTATATCATGGGATGTAGATAGAGAGTATGTTTTATTGATATTAATAATAATAATAAAAAAAAAAAGAGCACATCAGTCATCAATAATCAATCAATCAATAACTATATACTAAAAGACACACCAAAAAAGACACGTGTCATTTTCTAGTGTGTCCTAGAGGTGGCCAGTGGGCCGGGTTGGACCCAGCCCACCCTAACTCGCACGGCTGGTGGGTCACGTGGGTCCGACCCGGTTTCAATCCGGCACAGCTCGGATTTAATCCGGGTTGTGTCGTGGGTCCAAAATTTTCGACACAACCCATTTCAACCCAGCTCAGTTTAACCCGTTTGATTCGACCCAAATCGCACAACCCGTTTTGACTCATTTAATTCGACACACCTAGCCCGTGAACCCACCTAACCCGACCCACCTGGCACAACCCAGCCCGCACGGCCCACCCGCACGAATGACCCACCCAACCCGCACGAGCCAACCCACCTAACCCGCACGCATGACCCACCCAACCCGCACGCATGACCCACCCAACCCGCACGGCCGGCACAACCCGCACGGCCCGCACAACCCGCACGGCCCGCACAATTCGTACGACCCGCACGGCCCGCACGGCCTAACATCCATTTTAAAAAAAAAACGGCTAGTTTTTTGTATCTAACGGCTAGTTTTTTGTATCTAACGGCTAGTTTTTTAAGTGTATGATCATCCATTCTATTTTTCCTATAAATACCAATTCCATTTCACTCAAATTTCCACACAAATTCAAGCTTTCTTTCTCTCTTACTTAAAAATTCTTATTGTTCTCAAATTCTCAAGTGTTATATAGAGTTATATTTTTGTTAAAAAAAATCTCCTTAATATTATTATTAGTATTCTTAAGATTCTAAAAAAAAAAAGTTCTTCTCCATATTATAATTAGTAATCATACAAAAAAAAAATGAGCTCAAGAGGAGGAATGGGAAGGAGTCAAAGTGGTGGTTGAAGTGGTAGCCAAAGGAGTGGTGGTGCAAATTTTTCGTATGAAATTAATACGGAAAATTTAAACCAATTTGTCAATGAATATGGAGATTATGGTTTAGGAGATAGGCAAAATATTCAAACGTCTCCACCACAACATTTCTCCCACGAGTCCCACCAATCATCAAGTTCAACTATGCCACCTCCATCGCAACCAACATCTCAACCTTCATCTCAAGGTAATTTCTAATTAAATTTTTATTGTTATGAATATTTAAAAAAACTATTATTAATGATTATAAAGTTAGTTTAGTTTCCAATTTTCTATGATTTACAATTAGTTAATTACCATGAAAAATGCGTTTAAATAAGTATAATTAAAATATTTAAAATTTAAAAGCTTATTTTCATGAATAGCATTTAAAAATTAATTTTAATAATTTGATTTATGAAAGGTGGTGGCGGTGAAAGTAGAGGTCGAGCACATTTTTCTTGGGTGTGGAAACATTTTGAACGAGTTGAGGTCACACCCCCGGGATGGCAACCTGGTCAACCAAAGAGGTTCACGTGTACATGCCTAGTTTGCAAGGCGCTAGGTGCAAATGTCAAGTCATATAATTGGAAAACGGGAGATGGAACCGGAACCTTGAGTCGGCATTTGCAAAATAAACACGACTTGTTCGAAAATGGCCCCCGTCCTTCGGGGGGTGGCGTCCAAACACAATTGGGTGGATACATGAACCAACCCGGCGGAGGTACACCTTTCATTTATAATAAAGATAGAATGATTGATGAAATGAGTACTTTAGTTATTGCTAATGAATACCCTTTTAGTTACGGTGAAAATGCAAACGTTGAGCATTTTAATAAAGTTGCATTACAACCTGCATTTACTCGTGTCCCCCGAAATACCCTAAGACGTTATACACAAACTTCTTATTATAAGTATAGGAGTGGTTTGATTGAATTATTTCGTACTTTTGATGGTCGTGTTAGTTTTACAAGTGATACATGGACTTCTAGTTTTGGCGAACCTTTTCTTTGCATTACTGCTCATTGGGTGGATGATGATTGGTTTATTCAAAAACGTATACTATGTTTTCAAGCTATGGAAGAAAGGCATACCGGTTTTAACATCAAAGTTCGTATTTTGGATTGTTTAAAAGAATTTCACTTGAATAATAAAGTTTTTTCTTTGTCTCTTGATAATGCAACTGCAAACACAAAGTGTATTGACTATTTGAAAAATGACTCCGAGTTGAATTTGTTGTTGGGTGGTAGTCTCTTGCATGTTAGATGTTGTGCTCATATTTTGAATTTGTCTGTTCAAGAGGGTCTCGCTGAGTTGCAACCATTGCTAAACCCAATTAGAACAGTTATAAAATGGATTAGGATTACTCAGTCAGTTAGAAGAAAGTACATAGCTATGTGTAAAGAGAGAGGTCTTAAGAAAAGACAATGGTCTATTGATACCCCTACCCGTTGGAATTCTACTTTCAAGTTGTTGAGTGATGCTATAAAGTATCGTGATATTTTGACCCAACTTTACAATGAGACTCGTGTTGATCCTACTGAGTTAATAACCGAAAGTCATTGGACTAATGCTTCTTTTGTTCGTGATGTTTTAAATGCTTTTGATAGTGCAACTCATATTTTCTCTTATATTTATGAGCCTAACGTTCATTTAGTCATAATTGAGTGTGTTAAAGTTGTTCACACCATCGAAGAGCATATGAAGATTGATGGACTTCGTCCCGTTCTTGATAGCATGA